AAAAAAAAAAAAAAAAACATGACACCCAACAGTATCCCATGCCCGCAACCAGTCCCGAAACCCTATTCAATAGCCGAGTTTTAAGGGCAGCTGGCGCTCTTTGCAGCCAGGCCACTACTGGAGCTTGAACTCCTGCTCTCAGCAGCGCAAGTGCCTTTAGGGGGCAACCAAGTGTTGCATTCAGTTCATTAACAGCAGATCGAGCCAATAGCGCTTTGAACACGAATTCCAGCTCCCTTCAATGCCACACGAGCGCCTCGTGCAAGAAGGTCATGTGCTGAACGGCTTTCTTGCTGCGCAGACTTGCTCATGGGAAGTCATGGCAGACTATGGCTCTAACAAGTGTTTGGAGAAATTCCTTACTCGCTTGCAGGAACTGGCAATAGTGGCCTGTGCACGCATGCGCGTGTTGATTTGGGATGTTTGGGCTCACGCACTGCATTGAGCACCTGTGGGCTGCGGAGCAAAGTGTCAGCACCGGAAGAGGTTGAGGGGAGCAATCTGGCCGCACAATCCGAACGTAGACCACGCAAGCAGCAAAGTTGAACTTCTGTACTTCTTCGCTTCTCACACCATTTTTGCCGCTGCTGCAAAGCTGCAGACTAGCTGACACGTCTCATTTCCTGCAAGAGGCATCACGCACACACAAACGAAGACCTCCCAAACACCGTAAGCAGCGCCGACAGCTGGGTGTACCACTTGGCAGGCTTCTTTGGACGGTATGTTCTGCTCAAATGACTTCGAGGGTATCTGAGCGAATACACAGGCGGTCAGACTCTGACGTAGTCACGCAGTCTAGGTCTGACCAGGCCTGATGCCAGGTTCCTTTTTGACGTCGTCCTCGGGACCAAGCTCCTCCCCAGTCCTCTCGTGGTCATGACTCGTCCAACTTCTCAGAAAAGACTGGGTGTCCTGTAGAAATGCAGTCTGCGGTCAACGTCAGTATAGATTTGTTTGAAGCGAGACCGGTTGGACTCATAGTTTGGCCGCCTCTTGAACGATGGCTGGACTAGGACAAAAGCATATCAGTGCCTGCAAAGCATCTGGCATGCAGCTCACTGCCAAGTGACTTGACGCCGTACTTTGATCGCGAACTCCTGAGCCGATGATATTTATGCGGCAGCACAGAGGAAGAGAACTTGACCTAACCTGAGTGCCAAACTTGCGATTCTTGACGGGAAGAAGGTCGTACAATCCACGCATGCACGTATAACTGCACCCTGGCCGCTGCACAGACTTGGAGACTTTGCACCGCTGCGACATTGTGCTAAACAGGCCCATGGCTCCGGGCACATCTGCACGCTTGCCACCCCTGACCATGACGACTGAATGAACCTGGCTGCTCATCCGTGGCTTTCAAACTTGCTGTCAGCAAGCTGTTGATGCTTGCCAAGTGCCGTTCCATTTCTTGCACCCATACTTGTTTAGGCCTGTAAATTGTGACCAATGCCCGGAATGTAGGCCTTGCAGGGCCACGTAGCTTGACGCGTAGCACGACAGGGTTACGGAAGCCCACGGTATGCCTTGCCTTCACCACACGCCCGTTTGAGAGACGGACAAAAGCAACCTTGGCTCTTTGATCAAAACATAGAAGCGCCTCTGTGTGATGCAGGATGATCCGTTTGGGCTAACTGCTTTTCGGAGTCCAGAGTTAGGCTTCCTCGGAGATTGTACGAAGACCTGCGGCCGCGGCGCAGGACACGCTAACACCTAACACCTGCGCCAAGAAGCCATGGCCTTAGTGCACACACCTTTCCTGTTTCCTGCTCCCTCCAGCCACTTGGACCGAGTGTTGAACTTCCAGTTTGGGATCTCAGCTCTGCTCTCTTTTCGCAACACATGTCAGCATGTCAGCATGAGCTTTGGAGGCGCACCATTTTGGGTCTCCTCTTGTAGAAGAGGCGACCATGAAGGTTCCTGTCAGCAAACATCACTTGGTGCTGTTGCAAGATTTCACCCAGTGCCTGGTGCTGAAGGCACGACTGCTCACTGCCGGCCAAATGGACGGAGCTGCCAGGCACCAGTGTCTCTGACCGGGTGGTCCACTTTGCGCGAGCGGGGAAGCCAGCAAAGACGATCCCGCAGCTTTAGAGAGTAGAGCTGGCAACCGGACACAGCAGCTAGCGAATCGACCAAGCATGGCTCACCAGGCTCTTGGCAGCTACATTACGAATCTGTGACTGCGGAGCCGTTGTGAGGCTGGAAGCTTAGACTGACACGAAACAACCTGAGCTGCACTTGCGTGTCATGCACCAGAGACTTGCTATGTCGAACCAAGCATGCGCAAAAGCTGTATAGAACTTGAGAGTGGTTTGAATCATTCTGAATCGAGCAGCGCGAATGTAGCACGATTCGAAGCTTGAAAGCAACCAGACTGGAGGCGGCAAGATGGCGCTCACTATGGCTACAGGGCCACTCGACATGCAAATTACAAGAATGCTTTTCTATCGAAATGGATCCAGCACGCCTCTTTGAAACTTGAGCCCATCCCGACGCACGTCCACAACGAGGCGCACAGAGGCCAGCTCGCCATTGATGCCAGTGAGTCGCGCTTCCAACAGACCAAGGCTTTCCAGAGCTGATGTCGGTAGCCCAACCGCAGGCACACCGGCCACACAGAGCTCCACGTGCTCGCCGCAATGCTCGCTGCAATGCCGCTCCTTGTCTGTGTTTGCCTGGCCCCCTTCTATGCTGCGGCACGCAAGAAGTGGCAGCTCTACAGACTTTTGGTGATGCACCAGATCTGCCAGGAAACGTACCTGCCAGCGTGCCTCTTGCAAGACTTTTGACCGTAGCTGGATCACGATGCGGAAAGGCGCCTCCAGTTCGCAGATGGCCGGATCCACGGTCGCACGCAGGACTTCAACCTCCCCCCAAATCACATTCACCTCGCGTAAGCGAGGTTCGTCTGCCGCGGCCTCTACCTCCGATGCCATGGCTGCAGCACGAGGCGGCGCCTACTCCACCCCTGCACATTACCCCACCCAATATTGGGTAAGGCCAAACCCTGGAGTGCCACCTTTGTCATGCCCACCCTTTGAATCACCTGCTCCTGAAGCTATGTTCGACGTTTGCTGGGCATCATCTCGCGTTCAAGTCTGTGTTGCTGCCATTTGCTGCCAACATTTACCCATCACCAGATGGGCATGAGTCGCAGCTTGCAAAAATTCTAGCTCAGGTATCCAGCCTTCGCAGAAAGTGAGTAGCATGGCCCTGGCATGAATCAGTACGTATGAGGGCAAATAGGCTGTCTCCGCATGTTACGTTGCAGCTGTGCTTTTCTTGCCCGATTCCTGCAAGGCTTCGGTGCCCAGGGCAAATTGTCAGTCGCATCCTGCAAGCTAGCTTCTTGAGAAGAGAGCAAATCCTTGCACATGCTCCTCAAATTGTTGCCAATATGCCGAAAGCGCACCAACCACTTTACAGGGCGAATGAGTCAGTTCTGCCTGGCCTTTTAACACAAGGTGCCTGGGCTGGGTATCTTCCTCAACCAAATGAGGCAATCAAAACTGCGGGCTAAAATGCTCACAGCGTGAACCCTCACAGCGTGAGTTGCCACATACTCTGCTGCATGTTTGCCCTGCGCATGGCGGTAGCTTGGGAGGCCCAGTGAAAGATGACCTTTGTATGCCCTGTGCAACCAAAGAAGCAATGTCGCGCCGCACAGACCGCACACAGCTAAATATGCGGCCACGTGAAACTGAACCAAGCTGGAAGCTGGAGAGGTGAAAGCGGTACCACGCAGGTTCACTCAAAGGTGTCGTCTATGGGATCTTCAGGCAACTGGTTTGCCTGCAGCAGAAAACTCATGAAGCTCCGCATACCACATGGCACCACTGCCTTCTTGCGCTCCTCTCTCTCCGCTTTCTCATTCAGCTTCTTCACCTCGACAGAGTAATGTCATCTTACGCGCACAGTTTTAGGCAATCAAGCCAAGCCACGTAAGGATTCTTCAGCAGCTTTCTTGCCTGCACTGTAACTTCTTTTGATCGGAAATGTCATTCAGGAATTGCTGCCAAACCATGGCACTAAATGACAGCACCACACACAGCATGACAGCTTGCTACAGCCAAGCTGACCTGAACGCGTAAAGCTGTCGGCGACATGTAGTGCGGGTTCAAAAACCTGCCATTTACAAGTGACAACCGAGACATCAAGGAATGCAGAGATTCACATCACGGACATGGCACGGCAGGTTTTCTTAAAATATGACGGGGTTGCAGCGTTTGTCCGTTGAAGCTTCCTCCCAAGATCCGGATCGGGTCCAGCACGAACCGAGGTCCAATCTCGGTGAGCACCTTCAGACCAGACAGGATGCCGCTACTTCACAATACTTGCAGTTTGTGTGCCGCTCAAGCTCTTGAAAAAACGCATGGCACAGCCCTGCCTGCTTCTCGGGCTTGTTACTATCATCTGGTGTTTCGGGTGAGATTTGGTAGTGTCTGAACCTTAGAGTCTGACATGACATGGAGATCTAGTCACATGTCCAACAACCTGCACTCAGTACAGAACCAAATCTTCTTGTCTAACCTGAGGGTCTTGTCGAGAAGCAACCAAGAAGGCATGGTGAAACTCTTGCTGTTCAGCGGCCAGTAGAAGCACATGATGTGATCATGGAACGGTTTGCTCTTCGGGTGGTTTCGGGGAGTGCCGAAAACCTGGCACAGAAAGATCAAAGTCTTTAAGTGTTCTTGCCCGTGCTGCCATGGCCTGGGTGAATAGGCCTTTGACAAGCTTGAGGTATGACACCTCATTGAAGCTTTTGTCAAAGTACCTGCACAGACGCAGCAGACAAGAGATGTCAAATTCAGATTTCAGGCGGAAGTCACAAGATTGGACGGGAACCAAGTAAGCAGTTTCCAGCCTTAGTTCCAAGTGGAACATTGACTCATATTGTTTTCCAGCACGCCCTGCTTGCACTCCGAGGAATTGACCAGCCGAACTTCTTGCGTGGTGTGGATGTTTAGCACCTAGCAGAACAAGCAAGTAGGACGACGTGCAGTATTGCAATGTGCTGCGACTGCATAGCTGGCTCTTAAATGAAGAAAGTTTAACAAGATTGACTTCAAAGATCGTCATCCGCTGACTGCCAGGGCTCCAATGATACGGCTGTCACAATCATCGATACTTGGGCACCGGCAGCTAGTTCGCATGCTTAGACAGGTTCGTTTGGAGGATGCTTCCCCCGCTATCACAAATTGGCGGAGTGCTTGGCCAAAGCATGCCACAGCGCGTCTACAACATGTTTTTTCATGGAGATCGGCAAAAACTTTCACGCAACGATTGCTACAAACAGGACTTCAGTCAAACTAGAGGAAAGCCTGCAGGTACTCCAACAGGTCGTCTGCGCAAAATCAAGGGCTTGAGCGTGTAGTTTGCAAAGATCGATCGATGAAATCATGTGGGCAGATACTGCCATTGACAGCATCTGAAGGTCTTAAAGATATGGCTATTCAGCGTTTGAAGTTCTTCCAAGGTCGAGGATACCGCAATTGGCAGGGTTTTTAAATCCTTCAAACCTGGAGGTACTGCAAGTACTGGAGCATTTGAAGCTCTGGAAAGGTTGTTGCAGATACTGCAACTTTCATGAGGCTGATCCTGCAAATTACAGCGTGTGACATTCTTCTCAAATACTGGCATTTGCAACCTTCGAAAGGTCTTCAGGAGCTGTACCTCCTACCTTTCTTCCGTCCCTCATCGCCCACTTGGTAGCAAAGCTTGAGGGATGATCTCTCCGCTGCGAAACCGGTGTCTAAAGCAAGGCCGCGGGCCTGAAACTTGAACGTCGGACCAGAAGGGACTCTTCCAACCCATAAATACCTGGCAGGTACAAGGCACATTTCGGATGCTAGGTTTTTTGACCATTAGCACTTCCTAAACTGTCGTTTCAGGTTTGGGGCAAGCATCTCCTATTCTTTGATTGCGTCGCATGAGGAAGGGTTGAGTGGTTCATCATGTCACTCAACGTCTATGTACAACTCCAAATCTGTTGGATCTGAAACATTCCAGCCACAGAAATCCACATCCCAGTGGACACCGCTGCCATTGTCACAGCAGTGATAGATTTTGACCGCCAGGTTGTCATGATTCTTGCGATGCCAATGATTCCCTGTATGCCACAGTTTGTCCGGCACCAACTCCGGTGAGCAACCTGGAGGGACCAACCACGAACTGCGGACGTCCTCCCGTGTCAGTGCTTTTCGATAGCCAATTGGCTGACCAGCGCGCAGGTCGGCAATCGGATAGCTTCCTGGAAGGCTTTCCACGACTATGTCTGGGCAATCACGTTGCTGTATCCGCACCTTGGTAGCAGCGGCAGCCAAACCCAGCGCCTCCTTAAAGGGCAGATCCCAAAGTAAACTGCCACCGTCCGTTTCCTGGGTTTGCGCATCGCTGTGGCAGATTCGGGTCCAGCCGGGTAGGCCCAGTCGAACCAAATCAACTGTAGCACCTTTGGGACAGGCCATGCAAAAACTGGATTCTAGCCTTAAGTTGTTGGCGCCTTGCGAGAGTCCGGAATCTTCAAGGGTGCCGCTGCCTCTCAGCGGCTTTCCCTGACGGGTAGCTAAGGAGAGAACGCAGCAATTATGACTCTCAGTTTAGCTCCTTTAGCTTTAGATGCTGTCTGCATTGGCTGCGACAGCCTCCAAGGACAAGCGGAAGGGCTTTGTCAACTGCGCGCTCTTCTTGATTTCCGAGCGCAAATCAAGCCTCTCAAAAATTACAGGAGTGAGAGCCAGCAAATCTCTGTAAGTCTGTTTGGTCATGTGGCAAGGTGTCAGTTGATTGTAGCACAATGTCCGTCAAGGATTCCCCCGTCATGGCCAGCTGCACTTTGATGTTCCATTTCTCCACCATAGCAGCAACTGAACGCGACAAGATTTCCCAGGAGAGCTGTTTGCCAGCGCGTGGAAACCTATGCATGGCACTTTCTAGCCTGTATGTATGGCATGACACGTGCAAGTCCAAGAATACATTGATGATATTGCCTGCATGCAAAGAGCGGTGTAGCATGACCATGTTGAGCATGCAGATAGGGATTGGCATAGGAGAGGACGGATGTCTTTCACTGATTTTCAGTGTCTGAGATCTAGGTGTCTGAGCCGGTGCTTGGAGATCGAGTTCTGCATGAGCTGAAACCAAAATCGACACAAGCCATGAACCAGCCAGAAGGGGCGCAAGTCTTCTCTTTTGCGAGCTTCAAAGAAGACCACATTGTTGCAGTTCTTCAGCTCGCATATCTGCATGAGAAGTGAGGTTATTGTCAGACGGCTGCTTGTCACCACTCGACTGCCTGACCTCGTTGATCTCATTGAAGTTGGAGCGTTTCTCAAACTTTGGCTCCTGGCCACATCAAGGCATGCGACGTGCATGGCCATCACACCAGCAACAACTTGGCAAGACCAACCGATTTGTGATGGGGCATCAGCTTGCGGAGGTCATCGCACAAGTGGCGGAACCTGCCATCAATCAAGGGACTGCTGGCATAATAAGGTCATCATCAACAAAACGAATAGACGTGAGGGTGTGCGACAAGCTGCTAAGGGTAGCTTCCTGGCTCTGTGACCGCCGGGCTGACAGCTTCCTACAACCTTTCGCGTCAAATCATGATCATGTGCGCCTGCCTCGGCCAGGTCAAGGCACGATTAGCCCACTCCCCTCTCAAGTGCGGGATTTATCGCCTTGATAAGCTTGAATGCCTTACGTTTGCACCGCCTGAGGATCTTGAGGCCAACATAATGGGACCGATGAAGTTGTGCCTCTCCCAATCATGTTTCTGCTCGCACGTTCACAGTTGTGCTGCGGGCTTCAAAACATGCCAAAATTAAAGGACCGGAGAACCCCACATGTGAAGTTTAACCTGAATCTAAGTGAGACGAAATAATAATGCTGTCGCCCATACAAAGACGGGAGTAAACAGAAGATAAGAAAGCGAAACTATCATCCGGAACGGTGCAAAGGCATGTTGCGCGAGTGTGAAACTTAACAGGCTTAACATCAAACATTTTGACCCCTCAAGGGGCCCAAGATAAACATAGAACATTCTGACCGCTCGAGGGGCCCAGGACCAACATCAAATGTTCTGATCCCTCGAGGGGCCCAGGACCAACATCAAATGTTCTGATCCTCGAGGGGCCCAGGACCAACATCAAACGTTCTGACCCCTCGAAAGGCCCACGCTTAACATCAAACATTTTGACCCCTCGCAAGGCCCAGGCTTAACATTGAACATTCTGACCCCTCGAAGGGCCCAAGGCCAACATCAAATGTTCTGACCCTTCAAGGGGCCCAGGCTTTACATCAGACATTCTGACCCTTGGAGGGGGGCAGGATCAACATCAAACGTTCTGACCCCTCGAAGGGCCCGGGCTTAACATCAACCATTCGGGCCTCTCAAGGGGCCCAAGATAAACATCAAAAATTCTGACCCCTCGAGAGGCCCGGGACCAACATATCAAACGATTTGACCCCTCAATGGGCCCAGGCTTAACATCAAACATTCTGACCCTTCGAGGGGCCCAAGCTTAACATGAAACATTTTGACCCCTCGAGAGGCCCAGGCTTAACATGAAACATTCTGACCCTTCGAGGGGCCCGTATGTACGTATGTATGGATGCGTGCGTGCATGCATGTACATATGCATGTATGTATGCCTGCGTGTAAGTATGCATGCATGCATGGATGGATGGATGGATGGATGGATGTATGTATGTACGTACGTACGTATGTATGTATGTATGTATGTATGTATGTATATTCATATGCATGTACGTATGTATGTATGCATGTATGTATGTATGTATGCATGAATGTATGTATGTATGTATGTATGTATGTATGTATGTATATTCATACATATGTAATGAAAAACCGACCGAATTTTCATCAAACATTTCAGAATGCTCCGCACGGGAGCGCCATTTCTGATCGAAAAAACTGAATGTCTGATCACATGCACAGCGTGCACAAATCCTTTTTATCTTAATTAGGGCGGCGCTGCCAAGTCTTGAGCCAAAGTTAGTTACACATGCAAGCTTGGTTTTCAAGCTGGTTATACCTGGTCACCAGGATTTCTAGCATGCTCTACCTTGATTCCTACCAGGTGCACATGCCGCACTGTACATGTCATGCATGGAAAGTGTCCTAAAGATACGGGGCCTCCACCTGCGGGCTGCATGGCCTCCGAAGCATGCGGAATACCTGAACAAGACTAAGCCTATAGTGCAGATTTACCCGTATATTTTCTTCTCCCCTTCGCTTGACATGCATGCCAAATCCCTATTAAGATTCACCAGAATCCGGGCAGCAAGACCTCTCTGCTGATGGGGAACCTAAACCCAGGCATACGGCTCGTGAGGTGCTTTCACTCCGTTCGGAGTAGCTTCAGTGCTGAAGGAAACTTCGCAGGCTGGAGAGCCTTTGTTGTGAACACGTCTGCCTTTTGCAACTCCGTGTTGATGTATTGCAAGTGGATGAACAGATCTTGCTCGAACACCTCGTAGAGAGATGAGAGGTTGACCCGGTGAGTTTTGCTGACGTGTCTCAATTTCGGAGAGTATCCAGCATGGGCGATCTGAATGACTGCAGTTTTGTCCTGGCGACACACCAACTTGACCTCTCTGTTTGCCAGCTCTTCGAGAAACTCTTGGGCCGGTAACGCGTCTCCGAAAATGCCGGTGCAGAGTGAGATGATTTCAGCTTCTGTGGTGCTACGGCTTGTTGCTGTTTGCTTCTTACTACCCCAAGTTAGAGGCCAATAAGACTTCTCACTCTCACCCTCTAAGCATAATATCATCCCACTAGCTGACTGCGCATGCTCGACATCACCTGAGTGATCGGCGTCGGTGTAAAGGCTCAAGTGAAGCTGTTCGAAGGGGTCTCCTATCTGATGAACTATCGAGAGGTTAGGGGCGCCCTTTAAGTAAGACATTTAGCTGTGAAGTTTTGACCACTTAGTCACGCGTCTTGTGAGGTCCGTCAAATCAGGACGAGACAGCCTAGCTAAACAGAGTGTTTTCATGAGTACTTTGGAAGCCCCGGCCAGTCAGTTGCCAACAGGCTACCATCTGGTACGAACGAAGTGGAGGCAGGTTTCAGAATGCGGCCAGATAGTTCCTCGTACAGACTGCATGCGTTCGCTGCACAATCTGTCATGTCATGGCCGAATCATGCCGCATAACACTGCCATTCTGGGTCCTCTCAAAGAGATGCCTCCTTCCTATATAGTACCCGATCCACCAAGGTTGGTGGCTCAATCTCTAAATGAGATTGAAGCTCAGCCCAGAAAGCATCGTGAGCGTGCTCTGGCCCTGATAATATTATATCATCAACAAAGTGCGTGAGGAGTAAACGGCTCTTTGGGAAGTAATATGAGCTCTGAAAGAGCTCACAGTGCTCCCCGCCCATCCCCTCTACGACCGCCCGGAACCTGGAGTTCCAGTGGAACCCTGACTCTGGATTGCCGTATAAAGCCCTCTTTAAACGCACGCATGGTCTTTCAATACGCTGGACTTCTTTTTGGGGTTAACTCAACAGGCAATTCAACCCATGTTGGCACTTTCGTGTTCAACTCGCTTTAGGTGTAGGCCTCGATCACGTCACTCTGGGTCGACTTGTGACCTTTAGCCGCGTCGTACGCAAGATTGAAATTGATGCCTGTGATGCTTGCTGGGCTCACCTTGAGTTCCTGCAGTATTGCAAGGTTGTTTGACTAGTCTCTTATATCATCTCCTCTAAACAGGATCCTCGCCTTGAGCTTTCTGAGCTCAGGCGTCTTCCAATGCTTAATGCTCAGGAAGGTCATGAGACGACCCACGGGACATGAATGCCTTTCTGGGAACGACCTCAGCGAAGTCCCAGGTGTGTTTGACATCAGGTCCCGAGCCTCCCCATCACTGCACTCTTGCACCCCCGGATGCTTGCGCCAATCTTTGCGGTCTATGAGGTGATGAATCCCGGCATAGATGGAATCATCCTGAACACGCTGATTGTGGGAAGATTGAACAAAGGTAGTGACAGGCCCTGCAGGGCACTCTGCTGAAACCTTAGAGCACAGGCTGCTTGCGATAGTAGAAGCCATTGACTTAGGGTAGAGAGCTGTTTTGCTTGTCTTGCTTCCTTCGACCCTGCTATGCTGGAAACCAGGCCCATGCTGACAGCGCTTGGCGTCCAGGTTCTGGGCTAACCTCCAAGTAGACGTGACGACACGCCACGGCTTCAAGTGTGGCACACCGTCCTTGTCGCACAAGCCATACGCGCATCCATCTGTTCGTGCTTCGTACAGATTATGACGCTTGACAAAGGAAGTTAGCTCTGGTAGAGCCCAGCCCAACGCACTCTTCGGCCACTCGAAGGCAACATGACCCCCTTGGCTCAACACTATTTCAGCAAGCGCCACGGCTATGAAATTCTGAAGGATTCTGCGTGATCGATCCCTCTGCTTTTTCAATCTACCCTTAAACTTTCTTCCCCACCTGCGCTCATTCATCGCTTGCCAATTGCCCCAAGGACCGCATGGGATTGAAACCCACAGGTCACAGCCAGGGAACAGCTGAACAAGTTTCTTGAGGGGTTCCACTTGCTGCGGATTGGAGATGTCCGAATTCTCTTCGGTTAACCTGAATTTATTGATTCCAAGCCCTTCGTTCACTTGGCCCAAAGTAGAACTTTCATCACAACAAAACTCAAACATCGTTTCGCTACCAACTTGTATTGCGATATGGCAACCCTTACGGCACTTGCTTCACAGCCTTTGTGGCTTCTTACTGCCTTGCACTCGGGATGCGTTTCTTCGACGTCTTGAAGAATTGATGCAACTGCCACGGCCCCCTTGGCAGGCGATCTACGCAATTGCTCCGAAACGTTTGCTTTCATTGTACCCAGCTCCGCCTGGGCAACCTCAACCTTACCTTAAAAACCACGTTGCACCAACCCAAGTCTTTGAGGAAATTCTCCTATTCGGGCTTTTTGTCTTGCCAATTGTCACTGCATATTGACGCGCGGCCTCTGCACTTCCATGAAGTCTCTCTTGCTGGAGAAATCATACCCGATTGGAGAGGGCAAGATCTACCTACCGGGTGCACAAACGTTTGCGTGGTTTGACATGAACACGTTTCCAAGCTACCTTCTCCTTATCAAATTCCCAAGAATCCAACTTGCGCTCTCCCGAACGATGCTTTGCGCTATCCCCTGAGCAGCTTGGGGCAGCTTGGGCCTCAAGGGGACACTTTCCCGGCGGCTCCGGGCACTGGTGGATCTGGAATGTAGGAAGGAGCTGCAGGCGGTGGTTCTGTGGGGCGGACGCTCGCCCCCGTCTCCCTTGCCAAGGCTCCATCTTCCAGTAGTTTGCGGAAACGCTCATGACATGCATCTGAATGCTTTACACCCTCAGCTATTCTATCACAACTCTTGCAACCAACCGTTTT